ATTTTTCACCACTTATTGTGTTTTTATGTTGAAATTTGATTTTTTAATAATTCCAACAAAAAAGTCCAAGGGGTCATGGGCTCCTGCTCGTATGCCTATAAAGTTGTGCTGTCAGTTTCTGAAATGCATTTTGAAATAGAATTCGTTCATGAAAATGCTGATATAAAATAAATTTGTGACTAGGTTTTAGTCAAATAAAGATAGAATTAAACCAATTAATAAATGGTTAAAATGTTCTTCAATATGAAAACCATACCCGGTTGTCTCTTCTTCTAATTCATGATTTTTCTTTCTTATTTGATCCGCATTATACTCCAGTGATGATATTAACTCAAAAAATTTCCCGAATTCTTCATGTTTTCCTTCAGGCTTGAAAAAAAGTGTTTAAAATTATTTTTATAAAATCTAGAGACCTTCTTCTATCTTAAAAATATTATTTCTCATAAGTTGATGAGTAATATGTATTTAGGCAGGTGTATAAAATGCATTTTATAAACCTGATGCCAAGAAGGACAGATTTCAAAACTAGCCATTTTCTTAAAACAGCTAAAAATGATTCACACTTCCATCATTATCTTTTCTGAAGTTTAAATTACCAAAAATGTTTGTTAAAAATGAGAGTTTTTGCACATGAAATACTAAGGGTTAGTGAAATAAATTAAGAGTACTTATATTTACATTTTAGTTTTTAAAGATGCTCTAGAAACATTGTCATTAATATTTAAGATATTCCAAGTTTTCTTAAATTATGTCTTACTAACACGAGTTTTAGAAAACTCTTATCTAGTTCCCATTACATTTTTGATCCTCATCTATCTTCAGGCTGAGCTAAGTACTGTCATTCTCTGTACGTATTCACCTGTAGGTTTTAGGTGTCTTTTAACCATTTCTCTTCAAACGAAGTTTATTTTTTCTATAATAAACAAATAATAACTTTTGTCTACTTTTTGTGGCTTTTCTATTATCCTGTTTCTCCTCTTCCATTGGACTCTATGACACATGGTCTCATCCAGAGATCTATTTTTCATCACTTTTTGTACTGAAACTTGAGATAAACCAGTGTACGGCTCTTTAGAGCAAAACCTAGATAACAGACATCTGGGTTGCTTGGCAAAGGTCATGTGTAATTCTGAGTTATGAACCTGTCACAATTTAATTAATTGTTCTGCCTCTGTATCCTTGCTTTTGTACCACTGTAACTGTAAGCCTGCTTCAAGCTAGCCCACCCCCTTTTTGAAGTGTGTATAAAAGTCAAGTGCTGTCTTTGTTCTGGGCCCAGTTTGTCAGATGTTGAGTCTGCTGGGTCTGAGTGCACTCAATAAAGACATCCTCCTGTATACACCCCAAGGTCTCTCTCTGGTCCTCCTGATTCCTTAACAGCACGATCTCCACTCACCACAACCTCCACCTCCCGGGTTCAAGCGATTATCCTTCTCAGCCTCCCGAGCAGTTGGGATTACAGATGCCCACCACCTTGCCCAGCTAATTGTTTGTAGTTTTAGTAGCGATGGGGTTTCATGATGTTGGCCAGGCTGGCCTTGAACTCCTGACCTCATGATCCGCCCACCTCGGCCACCCAAAGTGCTGGGATTACAGGCATGAGCCACCATGCCCAGCTGCTACTCCTCTTTTTACACTCTCTCAGAACTCCTAAAATCTCAAAATGTTAACCCAGATTCCCTAATATACATTTCCAGCTCTGACCTTTTTACTGAGGCCTCTTCCTTCTAGTACACATATTGTAGACAATGTTGCCAACCACATGCTCATATATTGCTACTCGGTGCAGATTAGTTTAGTAGATAGTGAATCTTGTCTATTTTATGTTGATTCTTATTGATGTTACTTTGAGTATAGTGTTATTTTCTAATCTTGAAGGGGAACTGTCTCACCCTTAGGATATTGACCAGTATACTCTTTTCTTTTCTCTTTTTCTTTCCTTTCCTTTCCTTTCTTTCTTTCATCTCTCTTTCTTTTCTTCTCCCTTCCTTCCTTCCTTCCTTCCTTCCCTCCCTCCCTCCCTCTTTCTCTCTCTCTCTCTCTCCTTTCTGTCTTTCTTTCTTTTCTTTCTGTTTTTTGGACCAGGGTACTTTGTCCTTTTTTTCTTTTTCTTTTTTTTTGAGATGCAGTCACACTCTGTCATCCAGGCTAGGGGGCAGTGGTGCCACCTCTGCTCACTGCAACTTCCACCTCCTGGGTTCAAGTGATTCTCCTGCCTCAGCCTCCCAAGTAGCTGGGACTACAGTTGCACACCACCATGCCCAGCTAATTTTTGTATTTTTTAGTAGAGACAGGGTTTCACCATGTTGGCCAGGCTGTTCTTGTACTTCTGACCTCAGGTAACCCACCCACCTCAGCCTCCCAAAGTGTTGGGATTACAGGCGTCAGCCATGGTGCCCAGCCCTTTTTTTCTTTTATAATGAAA